AGCTATCGTTTCAATGGTGGAAGTTTCGCACTGCTTGATGATCATCTTCCAATCGTTTTGGATAAGCGTCAATATTTGCGCCTCTTTCAAAGCCTCTGGAGAAAACGACGGATCAGACTGCCATATCTCGATGCTCATATCAACTCTGGAGCTCCAGGTATCCAGGTGATGCCGTGCTTTCATCCAAGCGTCGAACATCTCATCTTCGAAGGGCGACATGTCGCCAGGTAGATCCAGGACAGAGGCCCAAGAACGTGGTGGAGCCTGGCGAAAGTTGAAGCCTACGATAGAGCCTAATGCCTTTTCAACACGGTGGATTTCGAGTCGTGCCTCGTCCAAGGTCTTGAAGGGATCATGCCCAGATGCCTCAGGTACAGCTGGAGGCCGTAAGAAGAAGTCTAGATCAGGGGTGATTTCTGCCTCGAGCAAATAGGCTGTATCGATCCCAATGCAGGAGAACATGACGGCGATGTCAGAGAGCTGATCAAAGTATTTCCTGGCGGTCTCAGCCAGACATAATTGTGAAGGGGACAAGGCTTCGGCGCCGTTCATCTCAAGACTCTCTACTGCCTCTCGAATGGAGCCGAGGATCCTACAGCCACCCCGTAGGTGCTGTATTGCTTTGTCATACCGCCCTTCTATTACCTCGAAACAAACAAAGACGAGGCAAGAGACGAGGGAAATTCTGATGGACGTAGTAGATAGATTCTTCTCCCTGTCCGCCAGTGTCGACTTGACAGCTTTGCCATAGTACGACATGGCCAGACTTGCAAAGTCTTGATCTTCCGTAACTTTGCTCGCATGTGAATAACCATCAAGGAAAGCTCTGTGCGATAGACCGAGCCCTACCAAAGCATGCTTGACTGAGTCTGAATAGTAGCCCAGCGGTATGATGTAGTTGTTCCAAAGCTTGGTCATGAGCGCTAGGTTTTGGAACCCAGGAATGGTAACCCGACGGACGTGATGGAACATGCATTTCTCAATGAGAGTTCCGTCAATGTCCCAGTCAAGCGATGGTGGCAGTTTTTCAGGTCGTTGCGTTGCCCGGTCTAGGTGTCTTTGCTGGCCGGCATCGCGACTTCCACTCATCCGATGTCTTTGGCGTGTTCGGCGGACCCGACGCCCTGCCAGATGGGCATCATGTCTGTGACTATGAGCGAAACTCTGTGCAAAGATCTCATTAGGGTCAGCAACGCTTACTTTGAATTTCTATAGAAAGTTAGCCTAGAATGTTCAAAGAAGACTCCGTTGCTCGCAAGTGTGGCACCACGTACCCCGTGCTGTGTCCGGCCAGCGGCTCAAGTGCCGTTGACGCTGCCGGTGCAAGAGTGTTCGAATGACTGATGAAACAGTGGAACCTGCTAGTGTCTGTCATTTTTCGAATTCTCGTACACTGGGACGAAAAGCTTTCGCCTTCATATGCCCTAGACAGCCTTTCGGAAAACTTAGTCTGGGTCGACTGACAGGTGTCAAGGACTCAAGGCCGGCCTTTTCAGGGAGAGATCAGGCACCCAGCTGAGAGTTGGACGCGTGTTTCAGGGAAGTCATCACATTTCCTCTTTGGTCATTCTCGGCACCCCTGCACAGCCACTTGTAGCCCCACCTGGCTAAGCCTCAAGTAGAAGTGAAAGACAGTTGAAATGCTCACATGATATCAAGAAAAGCAGAAGAACATCAGCTTTTTGAGAGGGCAGATGATTTCAAAAGCATATCTGATGGCAAATTCGAGTAAAAATCGTGTAGGAAAAGTGTATCGAGGCATTTTGTCTGAACTTGGACTTTCATGACAGTGCCTGTACCGAAAGAAGTTTCCATGACACGGCGCTTTCACTAGCTTGTGTAAAACAAGAGCCGAAACTTAGCAAAGAGGTTTCTGTACATGGAAACAGAATTCAAGAATCGGTACTCGAAGTACCAGCATGAGAGTGTTGACAGTGAGATATAGATTGCCACTTTTGCAAGGAACTGTAAGACTAACATGTCGGTGATACCATTTGCGAAGACCACTTAGTCATGCTGGGTGTCCTAGCTGCTCGTGGTAGAGCAAGGTTTCCAGAAAGTTTCGACCGCCAAACACAGCTGTCTATCGCTGTCTTGTCTATCGGTCTTGAACAATTCAAGCGCGAGATTAAATCGCTGTCTTGAAAATTGGAAAAGCCTTGGACATGGTAGTACCGACTTGGTAAAAGTCGGTGGTCTAGTAACTCGGATCAATCTTCTACTATACTAAATGATTCTGCTGGCTTCATGATGCTAACTTGAGCAACCCGAAAGTTAGACTGCAGATTGAAGAGACTTTCTGTTGCCAAGACTGCTATTCAACTGACAGCAACGATTAATGAACTTAACCTTTACAGTGACATAATGCTACAGCTTGTGCGTAACTTAATCTGCCATGGAGAAGCTGAAATTAAAGATAATAAGATAGAGAAACGTATCTCATCGTTGCGGACCAGTAATGATTCCCTAAGACTTTCCACAGTGGAATGTCGAGTATCATTGTTGTTTGCATCGAAAATAACTATCAATTCTATCCTGTTCGAAAATATTGCCAAAAACAGACAAAAGAGTATAAATATCCAAAGAATAAGATCCAAGTGCTCGATTATTCGAATGAGTTGTGCTACGATCATTCAAATGATATATTATGTTCGCTTCCAACATTCTACTGTACGAAAAGCAAGGCTATAGCCGCAAATCGTGACATCGACTGCTTGATTGTAGCAAATTCGTTGAAGAGGCTGCCTCAGACATCAAAAAATATGTTTTGTTACAGAAAGAAAGAATGCCTTCCTAGACATTATGTTTGACAACGTATCGTAGGTGGCCCCGAGAGGCATTGTAACAGCCAGGTTTTGAAAAGCGACGCTTCATATCTGCTACGTGGCCTCGTGATGATGTTTTTGGCTGGTAGAACGCAGCTGTGAGTGCGGCTCACTGTTATCCCGAGAGTTGATGTCATTGTCTACAGTTGCAGATCTTTTCAGAAAACATGAGTTGCAGTAGGTCTCACAGAAGTTGCACTGTAATGTTCCAGCAAACTCAGATCAATGCTGATCCTGGGGATTTGACTATCCATGCCATACTCGATATTCATTAAGTCCGCCCACCGTAAACACACAACCCTAATCAGGCCCCATCGCTTAAGCTCATAGTAACCCTGAGATCTCCGAGATAGGCTTCATGGACCGTGGGTGATCATCGAAACGGAAAAGGACGTGATCGCCGTTAGAGGTTTCTACTTCATTCGGGGGCCGAAGGGTCCACAACGTTATGGATGCGTGGGATGCAACATCATAGCCGACGAGATGACATGGCGGCTTCGCGAGTCCAACGTCTCGTCTGACGGAGAACATCCCGCAAAGACGATAGCTCCACGCATACATACAGAGACATGCCAAGATAAACTGGGCATTCGCCCAATGGAGCCCCCAAGAAGAATATTGTCGGCCCGGGTAGCGAACTGACGAATTTCATCGTTAACTGTCAGAACAGCATCATGCGTTCGCTTGCTCCCTGTCTCAGGCGCTGATGTGGCCAATCGCCTTACACCCTTACGCCGTACACAACGAAACAGGGTCAGGGTTACCGTTTCGACCTAGCAGGGGGGGATTGATATGCTACCGATCGGCAGCGGAGGAATGACTAAGATCGGGGTTCGTAAGGAGAGATCCGACTCAATCGACTTAGCCCCCTCGGGAATTGATGTTTGATAGAGTCTGGTGTTTGCTGCCCGCCGTGATCATGGTATCGTAGCACCTGGTTGTTACATCGCGGATAGAGGGGCTCGAACGACAGTCAGGAGATGGAAGTTGAGCAAAAAGGTCGGATCAGATACGAGATTGAAAGCGAGACCGGGACGGTCTGAGCATTTGCTTTCTCGACAGGATTCTATCTGGTCTCAACCTTTGGTCATCATTCATGTTAGGACTACCTCTCTCACGTGGTCGAGTACGAAAAGGTTTGTCATGACAGATTCTCAAGCGCACTGGGCCCCTTCTGGCCACAGAATCGTAGAAGCCACAGGAGTGTATCTAAGAGGAAAGACATCGAGGCTGAGCGCAGCACCACATCGTCTGCCCTCTCCTCGCGATTTCGGGCGCTAGAAGGGTTGAAGCACAGACAATAGACTTCAGCCCTTTGAGGCTCACTCGAACCTCGCGTATTATTGATGCTGGATTTGAACATGGTTCCCATACCCTCGTCCCGAAACTGTGGAAGGCGACCCCGGCCTAGACGAGGGAGCCAATCGCAACTTCCGGAGCGCGACGTGGGGGATGATCTGCAAATGGGGTCTGGCGGATTCGGCCGAGCGATCCAAGCGGCTCAACTGCGCGACATCCTACATGCAGGACCCCTGGATCCCAAGGGGCACAATTTGACGTTTCGTTTCACGATATTCTAAACATTCCAAGGATGGGGCCAGCTTTTGCATCAGTTTCGAGCACAGAGTCTGTAGGATTTTCCAATTATTTACAAGGGTGTGATTCGTTCCAAGCTACAATTGACAGGGTTTGTACAACAACGTGATTAACAAGAAGAAGATTCCATGCTCTAGTGCTTTGTAAGAAGAACGGGATGATATGTTACAGAGAACAGATTTTTTGACCAACGTTTTAAGCAGGCCTTCAAACTAATACCAAAAAGCACCAAGCACCGAGGGACCCTTTCCCTGCTTTCCCACCCACACCGTCGCAAAAGGCTACCCCCCCTGATAAACACATGACTAACACAGAGATGAAGAAGAACAAGCAGACCACACACCACTTACACCCAGCTCCGTAGGGCCCACCACACGTGTCGCCTCAAGCTTTCCGTCACCAACATCAGACTTTGGTCGCAGATGTCGGGATTCATACTAGTGTCACCCCCTCTTCGGTCAAATCCGCCCAGCGAAAAGTGGGCGCTTATCGTATTGGGGTCTCGAACTTTTGCGCGCGGCCACCTATGGGGAAAATGAGGGGAGGTAGGTGACCCCTCGTGGCAAGATCGTGTGGCGTTCAGTTGCCAGCAGGGCTTGGCGAGCCCAGCGTCGCGGGCTTGAGGGACGAACCGCCTTGGCTTTGCGCCTGCTGTGATTGCTGCTGAGGCTGGTTCTGGCCTTGGTTCTTGTTGCCGTTGTTCGCGTTGGCGTTGCCAGAACCAAGAGTAGCAGGCTGAAGGCCAGTGCTGGCGTTGTTCTGGTTGCTATTCGGAGCTCCGTTGTTGCCTTGGTTGTTGGTGTTCGTGTTGGTATTAGTGTTGGTGTTGGCATTTCCATTACCGTTGCGATTGCCCTGATTCTGATTCTGGGGACGGTTGTTGTTGTTGTTGTTGTTGCCCTGGTTCTGGTTGGTGTTGGTGTTGGTGTTGGTGTTGGTGTTGCCGTTGTTGCCAACTCCCTTGCCAATATCCTGACCACCGTTCCGGCCACCATTGTTGCCCTGATTCTGGTTCTGGTTGCCTTGGTTCTGGTTATCGTTGCCCTGGTTTTGGTTGTCGTTACCCTGGTTCTGATTTCCGTTTCCCTGGTTCTGGTTGCCATTTCCTTGATTCTGGTTTTGGTTGCCATTGCCCTGATTTTGGTTGTTGTTCCCTTGATTCTGGTTGTTGTTGTCCTGGTTCTGGTTGTTGTTGGCGTTTCCATTTCCGTTGGCATTACCGTTGCCGGCCTTTGGCGGGGTGGTCGCCGCAGGTGCAGCGGGAGCACCGCCCGCTGGTGGCGGAACCGAGGGAGTGACGTTGGCTCCCTCAACTTCCAAACATCCCGTGGGACGAACGGACTGGATGTTGGGTGCGCCAGCGGCAGCAAAGTACATGTCGATGTTGGGAAGGACATTGACACAACGGTTCTGGTTGATGGAGTTGACATCCCTTTGCGCGGTGTCCGGACCGTTGGTGACCATGCTCTGAAGAGTGTCAACAACCTGCTGGAAGTTACCCTGCGTGTCGAGCACGTTGTTGGCTTGCGTGACCATGTCCGTTCCCTGGAAGGCGGCGTCGAGAACCATCTTGTGGTTGAGCTCGTCGATCTCGGCGTTGAGCGCAATGGTGGCTTGCTTGGTGAACTCGGCGCCGGTGAAGGAGGTGGCGGTGTTGAGGAACTTGGTGACCTTTGCGGTATCCTGCATCCAGGACATGACGGCGTTCATGACCTGAGCATCGCTGACGCCATTGCGTCCGGCGCCGCCAGTGTTGGCGGTGTTGTTCGCGCCTTGGCTGGCGCCAGCTTGTTGGTCCTGCTGAGGAGCCCGAGTGTCCAGACGTCTGACACCTCGCGCGAGGAACCGGTGGCTGCCCAACGAGTTGCCTTGCGCCGGGCTGGCAGCTGGGAGGGCGAGACCGAGAGCAGTCAGGTACGAAAAGACAAAGACGTGAACGAAGGAGTACTGCATTATGGCGGTGTTGTTTGGATGTCGTAGAAACTAAAGACTAGCTCGAGTGGACCGAACAAGAAACAACACACAGGTAGTGTAAAGGAAAATAAGAGATAGGCGTCGCGAAAAGAAGAGGTGGCGAGCGTGTATGATTAGGCGAGATGGTCCTAAAGGAGAGTGATTGAATGGTGGGCCTTCCAAAGGCGTCCGACCACTTCGATGACAGAAAGAGAAAGTTGATTAGGTGAGATGGAGTAAAGAAAACACGACTGAGATCGGAAAGAGTTCACCGGCCCGGAAACGTGTGCAGATGAACAGGACGGTGGAAGGGCTTATATCAAATCTCCACAAGAAGTAGGTTGGTGGTTGAAGACGGAACAAAGTGACTGCTTCTTGGATGAAAAAGATATTGGTCTGAAAGATGTCAAGGGTGAGGGGTAGAAGAGAGATCAGGCGCATCAACGCTTGGGGAGTCGTGATGGTTGCGTTCGAAGCACTCCAGATGTCGCGGCCAAGAACAATGTGTTGCAACGCCAAGACGAGAATGGCAGGGAGGAGTGTTTAAGCAACGAACAACCATTAGCTAAGGATATGTAGTTCTAAGAAAAGACAGCAGGGGGGGGCCAATGTGGGAGAAGTGGGAACAGACGATATCGAGCAGACGAAAGGGGTCAAAGTGGTTTGAGGAAGTTGGGGTGAGCTGGGGCGACCTGGGGTTTGAGTGAAGTCTGGTGTTGGGCAGGTGAGCAAGGATTCGTCTTCATGAGACTCTGCTCGACTCAGCAGGGGACCTCGTGGTAACGCTGCTTGGTGCCTGCATACAAACGCCAAGTCGGAGATTTAGTCCGCCTTAGAAAAGGTGGTGCGTGCCGCCTAGTCGAGTCGAGAAGGGCAAGTCGTCTCGGGTTATTGGGTAGAGAACCAGGTTAGACTGACCGAGTCAACACCATCTGGCATCTCCGTCGCTAGTGCAGAGATGGAGAGAGAAGAACAAGTCTTCTGTCATCTGTCTCGTAGAGTCCAGATGGTTGTGGCGTCAACCAGCAAGATCCCTCCCCAATGGCCATTGAAGTACATTTGATGGCGAGTCGGGCGATTCTTGAACCCGTCATTGTATTTCAGCATTGTAGTGTCTGCCCGCCGGCTGTATCATTCTGAGGCGATGACTAGTTTTCTGATGGAATGCAGAGAATGGAGGCTGTCTAGCCCCAAGGCCACTCCGAGGGAATGGTCCCCCATAATCATGATCGCCTCTGATGTGAGCGTGTAAATCAGCACAGACAGCCCGCTAGCGTGGAACTGCTCAATCATACGCCCAGTCAAACTTGCACGAGAAGGCGAGCCGCCAATAATCTCATGCTATGGATACGATAGCGAATTGGTGATGACGACAGGCAATCTTCCAGAAGCAACAAGGCAGAGCGCATGGGTCATGTCATCAAGTCAGAGAAAGTGTGTGGGCAAACCGAAGGTGTAGTGTCAAGGACTCAAGTGGAATGGGGTGGGGGACAGGAATGTGGGAGAGAGAAAGAGGGTATAGTCTTAGAGGAGGGCTACCTCAGCCTATAGCTGAGTCGTACTAAGCGGGATGGGAACATGAACACATAGACACAGCAAAAGGTCAGAACATGCAGAAGTTCAGCTGCAGAGCCGCGCGAGGTCAAGCATTCGCCAAGCATTTTACCAAGTTGCACATCAGCCGCTACGAAACGAAAATCATCCCCACTTGGACTTGGCAAAGAAGATCCAAACGGGAGAGTCGGGACCCAGGGATCCGTCATTATTATGATCTTCGCCCCCTCTGGTAATGCCACCTTGTTTCTCCAGGAAGACCGGGAGGTGCTCGACTTTACATAGCGATATGGGTGAGGTAAGCAATGAATTCCTGCATAGTCACACGTTTGCCTCTCTGTCCGCCCGGCCTCATCTGATGAAACCCAACACGGCCGGGCTCGAAACGACGAAACTCGTCTCACACCAACCGAAACCGACGAAGCCCTGCCTTGAGCCTCTTTGCCCCTCTCCATCCTCCCACTCGTGACCGGACGAAGAATGCTCCCATCCCCCATCCCTCGGCGCGGATCTGTGTCCCTCCTTGACTCTCCCTCCTTGTGTTTCCTCCTGGCCTGCTGCAAAGAGAACTGGCAAAGACTGGCACAGTCAGGCCAGGCACCCAGACAGGCCATGTTGGTCGGAAGCGTGCTGGTCCGATGATTAAGCCCGATGCCCCCTTACACCTACTTTCCTTCCAGGGGCGCATCAGCATCAACAGATTGTGCGGCCGGAAGAGGATGGGAGCGGCGTCTGCAGCGATCTCTCTTGCACAGCCGACGCCAGACAACTCATGCGATTGGAGGATGGGGCTCCTCTTCGGCTGGGCGCTGCCTCTAGACGTCCGACCACCCGATCAAATTCCATGCCGGCCGTCCGCCATGTGGCATGGCAGGTCATCATTGCCATGGGTCTCTCGACTCTGTACCTTGCCATATATCCAAGACCCAGCCGCGCTTCTCCTCCCGAGGAGATTAAGCTTACTTGACCCTCGTCTGAATGCTGATGATCCCTCGAGTTGGTCGTGCTGCTATACAAACATCTTCCCCCTAGGACCCGTGGGTTTAGTAACGGTGTCTCTCCTTCCCTAGTCATCCTCCTTTTTCCTTTTCGTGCGCTTAAACAACCCCGGTGGTTGACCCTCGTTAATCATAATGACGCTCATGAAGTTTTCACATCTTTCTTTCCTGTTTGCTGGCTTGGTCGCGGCTCAGATTCAATCTGCTCAATTCAATCAGGTCATCAACCTGAATGGGGATGTAAGTCACTAGCCTCTTGGTACACACCGGCCCTTGGTCTTCATCATGTCTTGCTCGCCTCACAAGAGGAAGATGGTCAAGGCATCTTCGCTTCACTGTCATACACATACACTAACACAACATCTTAGATGCAACTGAACAGCTTAGTGTTCCCCGACAACTCCAAGATTGAGACATTCTCGCAGACGCAACGCCAAGTCATCGTCAATCAGAACCCCAACCCTCTCCCGGCAAGCCATGTCGTCGGTTCAACGGGACAGCCTTTCGTTCAACTCTCGCGCAACTCCTTCACTATTCAAACTAATGGAGCCACCGACCTAGTGGGCGCCCAGATTGAGTTGCCCATTGACCAGAACATGCTGTCGCAGGCAGGTGTCACAGCCGACAACACCTTCGTGGCGATGCTTTCGAGGGACCGTCAGGCGTGGATCATCATGGAGGGAGCCAAGAGCGTCAACATCACCGACGCCACCGTCCGTATGGTCAAGCTGAACCAGATCGATGGAGAGTACGTCGCGGTCGGCCGCCAAACGAGCGAACTCGGTGTCTCTTTGACTCCCTTCGGCACGCCCGTCAACATCGCTGGATCTGGCATCCAAGAGGCTGAATTCAACGACGGTTTCCGCATGTCCATCAGAGCTAGCCAGCCCATGAGCATCCGCACGGATGTCGTCAATGGCATTAGCACTGACATGGTAACCAACGGCATCATGTCCATTAGTGAGTGGCCTAACTTACCCCAAAGCCCACGCTTATTTGGATGGCAACCCGCTAACACATAGTGACAGACAACTACCGCTATCTCGTCACCAGCAACTTGGCTGGTGTTGTTCCCAGCCTCAACAGCATGACTGCCGTTGTCCAGATGCCGCGTAAGTCTTTTTTCTTGCAAATTAAGCTTTGTCTCATTGTTGAACTCGGCACTGACCGGAATATGAAACATTAGTCAACGTTGATCGACTCATGGCGATGGCCATGCGCGCAGGTGCCCAGCCCCAGTCCTCCATCACGCTCGGAATTGCCCAACGCCCGGTTCTCCAAAACCCCGGCGGTGCGACTGGTGGTCTGCAGGCCCCTCGTTTCAAGCGTCAGGAAGCCAACAACGGCACTGCGACTGAGCAGCCTCCCGCGACGGGCAACGGGAATGGCAACGGCAACGGCAACACTTCTGGCAATGGTGCTGGAGCTGCCGCCGGTGCCGCTCCCGCCGTTGGACCCAACAACGGAAACAATGGCAACAACGGTAACAACGGCAACAATGGAAACAACAACGGAGGAAACTCGCAGAACCAGCCTCAAAACGGTCAGCAGCCGCAGCCCGTCGGTCCCGCGATCCCGGCCGCGACCCAGCTCCTTTTGGCTCAAACCTTCAGCCCGATCAACGCCCAGGTCCTCCTTGACAGAGAGAACGCTCGTATTGCCGTTCCTGTCAACCAGATTGACGGCGAGTTTATCCTTACCATGATGGTTGCCGGCACTCCCGTTGGCACCCAGCCTCAGCCCGCACCTCAGCAAGGCGCTCAGCCCGGCCAGCAGCCCCAGCAGGGCCAGCCTCGGCCTCAGCAGGGTGGAGGAGGTCTTGTTCAGCCTGCCCCTCAACAGGGAGGCGGCGGCATCACCGGTGCCCAGCCTGGACAAGCCCAGCCCGGGATCGCACCCGCAGGCGTTCCCAGACCTGCTAATGCCCCGAAGCCCGCCGGCGCACCTGGCCGCCCTGCACGTAGACAAGAGGCTGCGGCTCCTCCGGCCGCTGCCCCCTTCCCCATGGGACAAGGTTTCGAGATGAAGATGGCTGACCTCATGGCCATGGCCGAGTCGAAGAAGAACGGTGGCGTCATGGCCACGTGGGAGATGATGACCAACTTTGCCGCGCAGCAGAAGCCGGTGGAACAGAAGAGGTCTGAGATCATGAGACGGAGGTCGTTCCCGGTGAGACGACGTCTGGGACAGCATTTCTAGGCTCTCTTTTTGTTCTAGGGTGGGTCTTCTAGGTAGCATGGCGAATAATATTCGATGTGTATTCTTTTCATCATAGTACCCTCGGTCGGGCGACTGCAGGGCAAGCTCAGACGGCTTTGAGGGGTTCAAAATACTCAATAGAAGAAACATTATTGGTGAACTATCTCTTTATCTGCGCTACTGTGATGCTCAAAATGTGTACGATTAATCCTCGATATTCAATACACGGTGGGTATTTTCTCACCAAGA